GGGGCCCCCCCCCCCCCCCCGGTTTTTTGCGAGTCTGACAGCGGTGAAAACTTGTCAGACGCGCAACGTCACTTCTACACAGTAGCTCGATCCGCACCGGTGCTTGAGCCTTTACAATGAATATCCACTTGCACCCACTGCCCGTTGACGGAAAGGAAAGGTACGGGAAAGGTCCCGTCTCATCCACACATGCTCATGCATGTCTCTGCTGCTGTGGGGCTGTGTCTAGCCAACACATATTCTCTATTCAGTTTCAAACTCTTGCACTAAACATGATGTATTTTTTCTGACGAGTCGCGACCCTCTGAAATCCCGCACTGCCCAGTCCTGCCCACTCTCGCAGTTCAATGCGAAGTAACACTCACATCTTTATCTTTCACAGAAGGCCGAACAGTCGACACCAGGTGGCAATGCGCCTGCTGGACCAAGTACTCCTCCTGTTGCAGCCTGAGCCATGCCAGATCTGATTCGGCACCCTAGCCCCTTCGTTCCCTGTGCAGGTGCACCGTAGTAGCGGCGACAACGTCGATGGTTGTGTTGGTGTGCTTGATGAGATGGTGCGGGCTACGACGAGGAGGCTGGAGCGCATGAGGGTGTCAAATTCTTCCTCACATGCTTGCCGAAGTCTGTGGCCTGCAAGGAGCACCCTCAAATGGCAGGCTGTGGTGGGTCCGGGGCAAGTAGTTCACTGGTGGTTCCAGTACATCGCTTTCCATCAAGATTGATGACATGCTTGCAAGTACCGGAATACAGAGAAACAAACGGAAGCACATTGCTGGGGAACTTGCAACATATAGCTGCCGTCAGCTTGCATCGCCATCGGGTCAGCCTTCCCGCGGTTCACAGTTCTTCCGTTCCCGATCGCTCTACGAAACAGCCAGATTGCAGGCTTTCGATGCCTGCGGCTGCCAGGAGGGAAACTGCGCCTGAAAGATTGCGAGTGTGGCAGGTTCCGAACCGAGAGAGCTCGGAGAACAGTATAATCATTGCACAAACTCAGGTGTCTCAAGACCTCGCATGAACGTGAGTTGGGGGCCTGGGCCGCTTGCCAAGGTGCTGACCTTGCCGATACAATGTGACAGCCCACTAAGTTCAAGCAACATGCCTGTTCCAAAATGTGCGTCTGCACGCGGTGGTTTGTATAATCAGGCCAAGAGGTGTTATGTAGTGCGGTGTGAATCATAAAAAAAGTCTCAGTTTGCAATTGGTAGTTAGTCGTCCACAGTTCCATGGTAGCTACCACTACTGCTGCAGCTGCAGCAACTGGCGTGGCAAGAAGCCTGCTTGGGAGCTGCCGAGCAGTAGCAATAGTAGGAAATGGTGACCAGCAGAATAGCCTTTATAAACTTGAAGTAGATACTAGAAAAGAATCCTGGCGATGTATGACAAACTAACTAAGCAGCAAAAAAGCACTAGTATTTGGATCAGTACCTGAGCCTCTAACAAGACTTGTACTCTCCAAAACGATTTGCGCTCCAATGCTGAGGTGTAACCACACGAACCCGCGCGGCATGCCAGATACCTTTCTGTCAACGCAATGCGGTTTCGATATCCCCAACCCCGATTACACATCTGCGCAGCAAAGCCTGTGCACAAACGAAGCAAGCAACTGCGTTGTAAACCCGAGCGGAGGTTGTCTTGCTTCGACCAGGCGTTTCGACATGTCGGATGTTGTAAAGGGATGATGAACCAATGCAAGCAGCGGAAGGGAAGTAAAACTCTCCAAAATATAGTCACATTGACATGTGACAGGTGCCTGAGGTCTAGCCATCGGTTTCCAGCTGAACGAGCTTGGTTTTGCAAGGGACAGACTCTTCTTCCCTCTGCACGACAGCCAGATCGGCCGACTAATCACATGTTCCGATCCCTCCGTGCACTTGGGGGCCAGCATCTGCAAATGCTCGTCTAGATGCTGGCGCTCTAGCCTGAGGGGCGACCAAGTCATCGACATGTCACGAAGTATGCAGGAAACACGGCAACGTCAATCCGATTCCATGTTTCGCGAGGGTCCAAGCCACGGGCTCCTTGAGTTGCAGCTGCTGCTTCACCCTCGGCCGTGTGGACTTGAGCAGGGCTTGGGCAAAAGGAGCCCTCAAAGGGCTCTCATCCGGCAGAGTCCTAAAGGTATAAGTATCTGGGTTCTCCTCCAGTTTACATCCAAGCTCAGACAGCGAGATGCCACCGCTGCCCACAGGAGCACTCCGTTTCGGACGTTTCAGAAGTGGAGGCTTCTGACACAGGTACCAACTTGGAAGCACAATGGCAGTGACTTGAATCAGACTAGTGCGAAACACACCTGCCCTGCAAGTTGCCAACTGCACGGCAAAAGCTGTCTGCCAGGAACGAAGAATTTTCAAGGAGTTATGGCAATAATCACAGCCATGAACTGTGAGAACGGAAGTCCTTAGAACGAAAATCGCTCGACCATACCAAGCAACTGTTCACGTGGATTGTGCTGCAAGCTCCGGATGTCTGTCGAGTCCTGCCATGTGATGTCAAGCCCTTTCCCTGCTGCCGTAACACTGCCCTACCGCTTGGCTAGCGAAAGCCTTAGAGCGACAGATGTGGGGCTTCCGACAGGTTCCGTTGAGGTTCGTATGCAGTACAGTCACGTCATGAAAACTGAAACAATGATGTTGCGAAGCTCTCGCAGACAACAGCCCGAATTCACAAGTCGCGGGCCAAACTGCTTCAAGGAGGCAGGCCACAGCTTGAGCTCCCGATGCAACACGTCTCTCAGGAGTCTCTCGTTGGCAGGGCGGGTGCAGCAACCCACACTTCTATCAGCATGGGTTGCCTGGTTATGCTGCGCCTCCTTTTGCAGCTGCTCCCGCAGCTGCTGCCGCACCTACGAAAGCCCCGAGCTTGATGTACTTGCAGGGCAGTAAGGTCACAAAGAGATCACAACTGAGGCGATCAATTCGAAGGAACGTGCTGAGCAATTGAATCCGGGATGGCTTGGTGTATGGAACACCTGAAATCATAGCGTATCTGCAAACACATGAGCTTCAGGTGATGCAGTACTCTAACCAATCAGCTTCATCGCGATCTCTCTCGTCTTGCAGTTGTCCAATGAGCACTGATTCCGTTCATCGCTCTTGCATCTTCAACCACTATCAACCACTGGCTTGAAACCATGACGTGGCCCTTGCCGCGCCAGTTGTCCAACGGAAACACCACAGCCTGCTCCCGATATTGATCGCCGGTCGGCGATGCAGAGCTGCTGGCGGCAGGAGACCCCTGTGCTTCCTCGGTGGCAAGGGGGATGCTCGTCGGGAACCTAGCTTTCTGATGTGGCTGTGCGGGGAAGCTCAGCGGATTGCAGCTGGGTGCATCGCATGCTGCAGCTGCCATTGCCTTTGCTGCGGCAACTAAGACTCAGACTCAACCTTACCCACGCAAAATCACCGTCGGCGCAATGAACCTATGAGAGTCTGCGCCTTACTTGATGTTACCACCCAGCTGCAGCTGCTCTCGTGGGTTGTGTGCCATGCCCGATGCAGATGGAGGCGTGTTGCAAGCCCCACCTGACACGCGCCACTCCCAAGCTTCCACGAAGGATTCCGAAGGCAAAGGGATTGTACCACGTACGACTCGCCTGCGGCCTCAGACCCGGCGGCCATGCCAGCCTCAGATCGCAGATTGGAAGCAGAAGTTAAGCAGTAACCTTGCAGAAACATCTTCGCTGCTTCATGAGACAGCATGGGACTGCCATCATCTCTGACACATGCATTTTTGCTGGCCGTTCACCTGCCCAACTCTGCGCCAGTCATGGAAACACTGTGCCGTGTGGGCGATTGATGGCGACTTCGGCACGGAACCCTAACGATCATTTGCAGCCTGATGGCCACCCCCTTTAGCAAGGTGTGGGTGACACTTTCAGCATCGTGGCATTGATCCGCCTTCTACCCTGCCAGACTCAGGAGGTATCAGGTGTGCGAAGGCATCATGACCTTCAGTCTGTCAGCTCAAGGCAGCTAAAGAACAAGCACATTCCAGTACATTTGTAGGAGACCGCTTCTGAAACACAGACGAAGACTCATCATTGCCTTGAACACCCTGCAAATCCAACCTTTGCAGGCTGACGTGTAGAAAGGCCTGAAGTCCCGAAAGCCTGCAGTTCGAGAGTGAGCTGTGAGCTCTCCTTAGCCCCGTCATGGGCTCGTGCGACGTGCGAGACGCACTTTGCTCCTCATCGCCTTTGCAGCCAAGATTCCTCATTTCTCTTTCTCATGCTCTCGCTCCCGGTCTCTGTCCTCAGTTACATCTCTAGTGGATGTCATCTTCCTTCTCAAGCCAGCAGAACAGAACTCATGTAGCCAGCTCTGTTCGGCTGGGGTACTCGATCGCGATCTCGCCTGTCGCGATCCCGATCTCCTTAGGGGCTGCTGGTGGCCGACACCGTGGCCGACTGCAGCTGTGGGTAGTCCAACGGACTATCCAAATGCTAGCCACAAGAACCAGGCAGGCTCTAGACCTCCGTACACCAACAGCCATCTCATGCACGGAGAGTATCAAGCGGCCTGTCGTTGTGGTCAAATATCTCTTCTCTCGAAGATGCTATGTGTTGCGAAGACTTCAGGATTGAATGGCGGCCATGCAGCTGTCGCGATCTCGGTCTCGGTCACGGTCCCTCCAGGCTTCTGGCTGTTTGCAAGGATCCCTCTAACCTGACTTGTTATTTGCAACGAGGAAGGGAGGAGAAGAATCCTGCCAGTTGACGATGCAACAAACGGACCTGTGTAACCTTCCAAGAACTCTTCGTGCCTGTCATGACGACCTCCTCGAGCTTCATCTCGCCCGCCGCGCTGACGGCTTCGGCTTCGTTGTCGCTCCTGCCGTGAATCTCAGAGCTGGCATCCTCTCTTTTTGCAGGTAGAACGAGTCGGGCCGGTCTGTGGCGCATCAAGTGACTCTTGCTGGACTCTGCTAAAGCCACTCATGAACATGCGGGCGGACCATCGATCTAAGAAAACTGTCTGTGATCAACGGCCGCAGATTGCTTGCCGCTCCTTCTGGGATGCCTTCAGCTCTTTTTCATGCACCTGCCACAAATGAAGAAAGCACAATCCAACACTACCGTCGACAGCACTAGTGGCTTGGACCTTGAAGCTTGCAGATCTTGTTTCTTTAATTGTCAGCCGCGTACTCACAGTTTCAGCGCGTTCACGCAGAATCTCCGAACACTGGCCCCCCCTACCTGAAACAGAATCACACTTTGAACAATCTGCAAGCTCCAGAGCAATGTCCACTGTGCAGGCTCAATTGCAGCTACAGCCATCTGCATTTCTGTGGTATTTGTACCGGAAACAGTTTCACGTTAAAGTCTGAAATCTGGTACATCTACCTTTCTGCCCAGCTCTACCGATGAGCTTGTTGCCCTGTCTGAGGTTGGTAAACGAGACATCTCATATTCCTCTGTCTCTTCGTTCTGCTCTGTCAAGGCTTCTTGCATGCTGAATTATGTTGTTTGTAAGCATCTTGTTTCGTCTCCCTGGCAACCTGAGTACAAGTAGAAGCTTCAAGCATACATGCTTGTTGTTCCGACATGTACTTATGACTACCGCAACACATGACATGTTTGTTGGTTTTGAAACATCATACATAACGAAAAGTTCCTTTGCCTGGAATAACGATCACACAGGGTCTAGCAAACATTCTGGAAAGATGAATGGCTTCTGACTTCCACTCCATGCTGGTAGGAAGTGTCACATCTAAAAATGAATTCCTTATCTTGCAGCGGCTACATACAAACCAAAGTCTTGTTACGTATCTGTGCGTGCATACGTAAATGTGTGCGTGTGTGTACGTAGATGAAATGGTACTTTTATATGTATGTGTATGTGGTTATGTATTTAAATGTACATGTACATGTAGATGCGCATGTACGCAGGGATGCAAGCATGCATGTATGCATGTATGCATGTATGCATGTATGAATGTATGCATGTATGCATACATGCATATGTGTGTGTGTGTGTCTGTGTGTGTGTGTTTGTTTGTTTGTTTGTTTGTTTGTGTGTTTGTTTGTGCTTCTTGTACGAGTATGTATGTCTATGTGCATGCATATTCACGTGCGCGTGTGCATGCAGCATGCATATGCAAAGATGTGCATGTGCATATATCTTTGCATGTACATGTAGGTGTGAGGTGTATGTGTATGTGGTTGTGTATGTGTACGGGCAAAGTGTAAGTGTATGAGGTGAGGTGAGGTCAGGATTGACCGAGGCTCGAGCCTGGCCTAACAAAAGGGCGACCCCTCGGGCGGCCTAAAGAGCCAGCCCCTGCAGCACAACGACAAGCAACAGCAACAAAAAGCAAACCGCGCGAACCGACGAAAGCGAAAATGATGCGCTACACACCACTGCCGTTGTGCGAGATCTGCCGTGTCTGGCAAATCTCGGTCACATTCCGCCAGCCCTGGGCTGCCATGAGCCTCACCGACGCCTGCCGCCTGTCGACCTGCGTCCGGCGGGGCTGCCGCGAGCTGCGTGGACGATGGAGGGGAGGTAGCCCAATCATGACGCCTCCTCGAGAGTGGCATCCGGAGCACACCGTACTCCCGCCGCCCCCTCCTGGGCTGCACTCCGTGTGGTCCTGTCCTGCTGATGGTCGAGGTGCTCGTCGCCTTAAGATGAGGAGACCCTCCCACCTCATGCCTTAGTGCCGCCTCCGGGGTCCTCGACCACAAACCAGCAAGGCAGAATCCCCAACACGAACCCGAAAGGGGTGTGTGTGTGTGTGTGGACCTCTGTTGCCAAGAGGTAATGTCAGCTGCTGTTTTGCGGGGGGCTGAGGGCCCGTCACTTGGCACCTCAGCCAACGAA